CTCCTACTCCACCTCGGCCTCCTCCTCCTCCTCTTCTTCCTCTTCCTCCCTCTCCCCCCTCGTCCTCTCATCATCGTCCTCCCATTGTCGTCCTCTCCCTCATCGGCCTCCATCATCGTCCTCCCATTGTCGTCCATCATCATCATCCTCCCCCTCCTCCCCCTCCTCGTCGTCCTCCTCCTCCTCCTCCTCCCCCTCCTCCCCCTCGTCCTCCTGCTCCTCCTCATTTTCTTTCTCCACATTCTCCTTACATCCTCTCTTCTTCCGCGTCCTCCTCGTCCCCTGTTTACTCCTCCTGCCTCCCCCTCCTTTCCCAAGATAGCTGCAACACAATCCTGTTTATGCTCCCCGACTTCTCTGATCAAGGCAACTCGCCAGGGCAAAGTTGCTGGACGGGCTGGTGTGGATGCGCGGGGCTTGAAGAGGTCCTTGCGGGCTCAGACGGCATGCAAAAATCTGCCGCCGCGCTTGTGCGGCATTGGTTTGTTCAGTGAACGTGGTTTGGGTCGCGGGTGGGTCGCGGGCTCTCCACCTCCACCTAGAAGGAATGCAAAAGCAGCCCGCCGCAGACGCCAAAAAAAATGGTTTGTACACTGAACGTGGTTTGGGTCGCGGGTGGGCCGCGGGTTCTCCACCTGAAACGAATACAAAAGATGCCCGCCGCAGGCGCCGAAAAATGTGGTTTGTACCCTGAACGTGGTCGCGGGTGGGTCGCGGGCTCTCCACCTGAAACGAATACAAAAGATGCCCGCCGCAGGCGCCGGACAATGTGGTTTGTACCCTGAACGTGGTTTGGGTCGCGGGTTGGTCGCGAGTTGGTCACGGGGTGGGTCGCGGGCTCTCCACCTGGAAGGAATGCAAAAAAAACCCGCCGCAGGCGCCGAAAATTGTGGCTTGTACCTTGAACGTGGTTTGGGTCGAAGGTGGGTCGCGGGTGGGTCGCGGGGTGGGTCGCGGGTGGGTCGCGGGTGGGTCGCGGGTGGGTCGCGGGTGGGTCGCGGGGTGGGCCGCGGGCGGGTCGCGGGGTGGGTCGCGGGGTGGGTCGCGGGGTGGGTCGCGGGGTGGGTCGCGGGGTGGGTCGCGGGTGGGTCGCGGGGTGGGTCGGGTGGGTCGCGGGTGGGTCGCGGGTTGGGTCGCGGGTGGGTCGCGGGGGGTTGCGGGTGGGGACGACACAACAAACAACAACAACAACAACAACAACAACAACAACAACAACAACAACAAACAACAACAACAAACAAACAACAACAACAACAACAACAACAACAACAACAACAACAACAACAATTACTAGCACGTGGGGACACTCCGTTCTCACCAGTGCCAGGGTTTTCATAGGAGGCGGGCAATACCCCCACTTTGTGGGGGGGCCGGTTCAAGCTCTACCAAATTTCCAAACGACTCTTCGCCACCACCCACACCCAGCTTCCCGCCCTATGACGTTCGGACACTTCACTTCGTGGCATGCGGACGACCGTGGCTACTATTCAGGGCCCCGCGGCCGACGACGACGGCGTGCGCGCGCGAAGAAAAAACGAATGTGTCCCGCATGGTATTATTTGACAGGGATGATGGCCCTGGCAGGTGCGCAACCGTTGTTGCAGAAGTTCGAAAAAGTTGCTCGCAAAAGCCCGTTTGACAGAAATGTTTAAAAAGTGTTGGGTTTCCTACGAATCCGCAAGAGCGCGCGGGATGAGATTTTGACATTTTTTTTGAAAAACCATTGGTTTTTTGATGTTTTTATGTTAAAATCGCTCGAACACTAAGGTTTTGGAAGGATTTCGTCTTGCGCGCGCGAATGTCCACTTTACCTTATTTTTTGCAAGGGATTCTTGAAATTTGATTATATTAGAACAAGAAATGTCATTTTCTATTGTTTTTTGCAAGGGAAAGCGGATTACAACAAAACAACCGGATCCTGTACACACCCTCTTTTCTGAGGCTTCCTCACGAAAATGATGAAAATGTAGCTGCGGCCTAGGCGGCGCAGGGGGGGCGCGCACCAGGGGGCCCAACAATAATTATTCTTTAGAATAAATAATGTTCAACAGCGAGAATCCGCACCGCGGAATTCCACTTCAGCCACGCACCCAGGGACAGTGAATGACCGTTCGGCCCCCTCACTCTGACTTCAGGCAAATCCATGTGTTTGGCCTCTTCTGGCCTTCCTGGCGGCCTTTTTGGGAGCCTCGTGGGCCGTCTTGGGCCAGCTTTGAGCCAACTTCGGCCATCTTGGTGGGTTCCTGGCACGTCTGACGCCGTCGGGAGCCGTCTTGAGGGCCTTTTCTGGGCCGGCTTGGCGCTCTCTTGGGGCGCTTCGGGGCCGTCTTGGAGCCCATCTTGGGCGTCTTGGAGGCCATCTTGGGCGTGTTGGAGGCCTCTTGGGCAGTCTTGGGGCCCTTTTGGGGCCGTCTTGGAGGCCACTTGGGCCGTCATGGGGCCCTCTTGGGAGCCTCTTGGGCGATCTTGGGGGCCTCTTGGGCCGTCTTGAGCCGTCGGAATGCCGAGAAGAAGCATATCCCCAAATCCTTCAAATACTTATGGAAAATCAATGATTTGATCTCTTCGGGCCCTCCTGGAGGACCTCTTGGAGGCCTCTTGGGCCGTCTTGGAGGCCTCTGGGGGGCCTCTTGGGCCGTCTTGGGCCGTCTTGGACTCTCTTGGGCCGTCTTGGAGGCACTCTTGGACCATCTTGGGCGGACTTTCAGGCCATCTTGGACCATCTTGGAGGCCATCTTGGGCCATCTTGGCCACCTTGGACGCCATCTGGAGCCGTCATGGAGGATTTTTTCTGGACTTTGCGCTCCTGGAAGGGCCTCCCGGGACCCCGGCGGGACGGGCCGAAGCGCCAGGGGGAGTTCTTTTGGAAAAAGAACCAAAACCCAAACCGAGAGGTCTAGCACGCCAGGTACCCCTGCGATGAATCGACAGGGGGCGGCGGATCGAACGGCGTTCGGCCCATCCCGCCACCGTGTCTGGGTTATGGGTCAACAGCTTCTTGGATGCTCGTTGGGATGTCGTGGGAGGCCTCTAGGAGGCAATTCCGAACGATTTCGGGAGCCAACCTCTGGGGGTCTCTGGAGGGTCTCTTGGGGCCTCTTGGGGGCCTCTTGGGGCCTCCTGTGGGCACCTTGAGGCGGAAGGCTCAAATTGTTAGTTCAGGTCCCCCTTCTTGGGGCCGCCTTGGGGCTCCCTTGGGCCGTCTTGGGCGCCTTTTGGGCCATCTTGGGGCTCTCCTTGGGCCGAGTTGGGCCCTCTCGGGGGCCTTCTGGGCCATCTTGGGGCCGTCTTGGACGCCGTGACGACCGAGAAGTCAGTCGTACACACTCAAAGTTCACGTCTTCCTCCGGGAATTTGACGATTCGGGCCCTCTTCGCGCTGCTCTTGGAGGCCTCTTTGGACGTTTTTGGCGCTTTTTCGACCGACCAGAGGCCGTCTTGGACGTCTTCGCCTTCGCCCGATCGTTCAGCGATTGCGGTGGGGCTAAGAGGCGCTGGGTCTCTCCCAATAGGGCGCGGGCAAATCGGAGACCCCCCCAGAGAAAATTCCCCAGGGCCCGGAAATTCCGCGGACACCCCTACCCCGACCCCCCCCCCAGGGCTCAGGAATTCCGGGCACCCCCCTTTGACCCCCTGCCTCGGCAGAGCCACCCCAGCACCCACCCCCCGAGTGAAGCAAGAGCCTCACTTGGAATCGCAGAGGTTCCTTCAAACTCTTCAAGGCTCGGAGAGCTCGCACCGCGCATCGGCGGATCTGTCTTTCTCAGGAATTGTGTCGGTCGCCAGGGTCTCGCCACGTAGCCGCCCGTTGCCGCCTCGTTGCTGCCTCGTGCGATATGCGCGTCTGGCGAGATTCGGCCTGGTGCCGCCTCGTTGCCGCTTCGTGAGGCCGGATGGTTCTGGCGAAGTTTCGCCACGATGCCGCCCAGTGCCGCATCGTTGCTGTGAGGTTTCGGCATGGCTTCGCCACGTTGTCGCCTGGTACCGCATCGTTGCCACTCCGTGCGCTGGGTAGGTCTGGCGAGGTTTGGCCACGTTTCCGCCCGTTGCCGCCTCGTTGCCGTCTCGTGCGCTGGGTGGGTATGGCGAGGTCTCGCCGCGGTGTCGCCCGTTGCCTCCTCGTTGACGCCTCGTGCGCTGGATAGGTCTGGCGAGGCGCCACGTTGCCGCCCGTTGCCGCCTCGTTGCCGCCTCAAGCTTGCCCCACGTAGCACGTAACGCAATCACTTACCACTTCGGGTCCTCCTTGGCAATCATTCCTGGTGTGTCTTCGGTCCGAGTGCTTCGGTCCTTCCCAGATTACACCCCCGCTGCAGCGTTAGCCTTTTTTCTGGTCGGCGCTTTGCTCTCGTCGTTCGAAATAGCGCTCTCGGCCCAGCGCAGGACACATTTCTGGATCCGAGTGTGTCCTCTTCGTTGTCGCCCCCCTCCCTTCCCCTCCCCCGCGAGTCCCTGGTCCTCCTAGTCCTCCCGCTACTCCTGCTCCTGATGCTGCAGTTCCTCCTCGTCCTCCTCCTTCCTCATCCTTCTCCTCTTCCTGCTTCCCATCCTCCAGCTCGTCCGCCACCTCTTCCTCCAATGTACAAAACTCACGTTTTCAGAATCCGCGCAACACGATGGGGTCCTTTGGGTGTTCCCGGTCCGCTATGACGCCTGCTGGCGGATTGAGAAAAAGCGCAAAAGGGACAAGGGACAGGCTGGGGGGGGGGCAGGGGCAGGATGTCAGCTGAGGCGCGAGCGCACCTAGCCTGTTCTCCCCCCCTCTCCCCTCTCCCCCCCGTGCTCCCACCTCCTCCCCCCCCTCCCCGTGCTCCCACCTCCTCCCCCTCTCCCTCCCTCCTTGTCCGCTCCCTTGTCCTCCCCCCCCCTCTCCCTCCCTCCTCTCCTCCCCCCCTCTCCTCCCTCCCCCCCCCCCCCCCCTTGTCCTCCCCCCTCTCCCTCCCTCCTTCCGTCCCCCCCTCGCCCTCCCCACCTCGGCCCGGGAGCCCGCCCCTCCTGCAGGTGACTGCGGGTGCCTGAACTGGAGGGACGTCTTCACCCAGCGGGGGGGCCGGTGCGGCCAGGGGTACGAGCACTTCCTCTCCAGGAGCGCGGGCCCCCTCTCCCCTCGGGGGCGGCAGGCCGGTGCACGTCCACGGCCTCGCGGTCCCCAGTTCTCACCACCCGCCAAACCACCCCAACCCAACCCGAAGGCTCAGATTGACCCTCGATTTCCAGTGGGGGGGGGGTCGGGAAACATCAAAAAAACACGTGTGGAACCCTTACCCCCCCAACCCGAAATTCGGGTCTTCGGGTTGGGTTGGGGTGGTCTGGTAGGTAGTCAAGTTCCTCCGCGTGAAACGTGGGGGCCAGAGGCTTTTCCTCAAGACCGCTCCGCTGGGGGGCTTCAGCACGGTGGGGGCGTTCGTGAAGGCACGTGCCCAGGAGGCTTCAGGCCCTGGAGAGTTCCTTATAACTGATGAGGGCGGCGGTGATCTCCATCGCCGAGCCTCATTTGAAGTTCCACCTGCCTCCAGCCCCTGGAGTCCTTACCCAATGGTATCTTATCCAATGCTCTCGCCGTGGCGTCGGTCCGAGCGCGGGCCTAGTCTTGCATGTGACTGTACAAGGCATCTGCCACGACGAGAGAAAAAATGCCTCCGCCGTAGTACACGTTGCTTATTTCTAAGTAAGTATTCGAAAGTTATTTGTTTTTTTTTGGGGGGGGGGCAAGATCCGTTAATTTCTAATTGTTCTATCCTTGGCCTCTTCCTGGCCACGAGGGGGCCAGGAACAATTGGAAACGAGGAGAAGTGGAAATGAGCAAGCGCATGCTTAGAGATGAACGGCGTGTACAAACAGGACCACAGATGAGTCCAACGGGCGGGGCGAGGAGCCCTATATAATTAGGCGACCAAGGCCGGCAGCCGAATCGCGCGAGACTTCCTCACGACGTATTCAGGAATCGTGCTCTCCTATCAATGTCGGGTACATGTGTTGTACAGACGGCCACGATCCTTGGCACCAGAAGCATGACGCAAGGTGCACATGGCAATGTTGTCGCCCTTGTCCCAGCAGGTTTCCACGACCTCCTCCCCGACCCGCCTCGTCACCGTTGCTGCTGCTAGGACGCTCTGATGGGGTAGCAGCCAGGAGGTCTTCGATTGTCTCGCGGCCGCCAGACCTAACCGCGTCGCGAACATGTAGCGACCGAAACTATTCGGCCGTATTTCGGGATGCAGTTCTCCAGCCCTGGGGCCGTCAACACAACGACTCGGAAGGCGGAGCCAGAACTGGGGGAGTAGCCGAAATTCCTGGCTGTCCACGCTGTGAAATACACATCTTGCTCGTGGGCGCCAACGAGAGGGGTGATGGCTAAAGGGCTAGATGGGTGCAAGGAGCTTGACGCCTCCCAGATGTTCTCACCTCCCCTCCCTGCGCCTTCACAGTCCACCGTTTCTCCCCCTCCTTGTTTTGTTATCTCTCGCTCTCTCTCTTTCTCTCTCTCTCTCTCTCTATCAATCGGTGCCCACTTGGCCTTGCCGCCTCTGGGGGGGCGGGGGCCGACCGATAAGCCCTCACTGAAAGGTTTGGGCCCGCAGTGGCTTCTGCAATCCTGCCATTCCCCTGCCTCAACCGCGCGTGGGGTAAAGCCGGTGACATCACCCCGGCCGGCCCCCAGTGACCTGCTGCTGCCGCCCCCACTCGGCCGCGGATGTCATTGGCCGGAGGAGTTTCGGACGACATCGGAGTGAGCAGCTGGATGCCAGCATTTGCCAGGGCATCGTAGTTGAGGGATCCCCAGGTCGACTCCAGAAGTGAGCGCTCGGGCGAAGCAGAAGGTGAGGTTTGCAGTGGTTGGGAAGGGCCGGGGGTGTTCGTGCTCCCTAGCCTGTCCGGCTCTCTGTCTCTCTGTCTCTCTCTCTCTCTCTCTCTCTCTCTCTCCCTCTCCGCGGCCTTTTCGGGGCTCAAGAGAGGAGGGAGGAGGCAGGAGGGAGGAGTGAGGAGGGAGAAGGGAGGAGGGGCGCCTGGGGCCTCTGAAGGCGCCTGGGGCCTCAAGAGGCCCCAGGCGCCCCGTGGCCCCCGGGGGCGGCTCGCGGGGAGCCGCGCAGGTTGGCTCTGCGGTGGCGCCCGGCGCGGCTGCGGGGCCGAGGCCAGCGGGGGCCCGCGCCGACGCTCCCCAGGGTCTTGGGCGCGCTGGCCGCGGCGGGGGGTCGGGCGCTGGCTGTCGAGGGCGGGGTCAGCCGCCCGCGGCCCCACAGGCCTGGGGCGACGACGAGCCCCTTCAGCCTGTGCGAGGTGGCGCGAGGGCCGACAGGGCGAGGGAGGGGAGGATGTAGTCGGGCATGTCCTTCAACAGGAGAACTGGTCAAACCGCTAGTCAAGCGACAGCCTTGAGAGGATGCTATTGTTACCATGTTTGGTTGTTGTTTGCCTATGCGTTGGATCTGTGTCACTGTTCGTCCAAAAGACCGCCTGCAGGAGGACGTGCCCGACCCGAGAGGAGGAGGACGGGGCGTGCGCGGCGGAGCTGCTCGTCCTGGCCCAGGGGCAGGGCCGGGGGCCCGGACGCCGTGCCGCCCAGGGTGTGCGGGCGGACCGCGAGAGGGCGTGCCCAGCCCGGCCGCGGAGTTCGAGCCCGGAGGTCAGGGGCAGGAAGCCTCCGGCCAAGGCGCCCGCGGGCGCCAAGGGGCGCAGCAGCCCAGCGCAGGCCGCGCGAGGAGGTCGCGGAGCCCGCCGCCGTGGGCGAGGAGCTGTTGCTGCGGGAGCAGGGGGAGGCGCACGGAGGGCTGCGTGTTTGCACGCCGAGGCGAGGCTGCGGAAAGGAGGCGTCTCGAGGCAGAGGACCCGTTGGCACCGAGTGAGGAGGAGGAGGGCCTTGAGGAAAGGATGGTAGGGCGTCCAGCGCGTGCAATTCCCTGTCGTGGGAACTTGGATTGGAGGCCTAACTCTCGAGTGGGCGGTCCCAGCGTGGCAGAAGGTTCTCATTGGAGGAGGCGGGTTTATCGGAGGTGCGGTGTCTACTGCGGTCCAGGTCGCTTTCGGTCACTATTGCCACGGTCCAGGTCACTTTTGGTCATCACTGGCATGATGTGTCGGGCTCATTATTTTGTGTGTTGATGGTCACGATCGTCATCGGCATGGGATGCAGCTTGCACGCCATCGCTCCCGCCGTGGATTACCCCTTGGTCAAGCCGCTGAGGCTGGTCCTGGCACCGCTGATGAGTTTGCTCGGCTACTGTCCTGCGCCGCGGCCCCCGCGCACAGGAGGGGAGGCGGGAGAGGAAGGTGGCATTCACGAGTTGCGTAGCCCAGGTGCGCCCACACCCGTGGACAGCAGTGCTTACGGTTAGCTCTGCGCCGGGGGGGCGAAGAGAAAGGCCCGCCACCTGCTCATCAAGGTGGGCGACGCCGCCGCATGGCTGCAGCGACCTGCCGTCAACTTCGGGATGAGGCCTACACGTTCACGATGCACGTGGAAGCACACGATGGTTTTCGGTTTTGCTTCTAGGACGTTGAGGACGCTGCTGGTGGAGTCTCAAGACAACGCGATTCATCTGCGTCGTAATTCGCCATGCGCGGCTGGAGGTAGCGATGCTGTGAACGTCCCGCCTTCCAGCAACGTGACGGAGGAGACCGACGCCAATCTGATGGCATTGGTGGTGGCCCCGCCCCCTCATGTTGGGCCGCGGGTGCCATTAGAGTTGGAGTCTGGGCTTGCAGTCGCGGGTACGGGGCACTTGGTTTGAAGGGTTGCGGTGCAATGCGTGGGGCATTCCCGCAGTGCGAGCGCTCGGGCTGCGGAAGCCCGTGATTTCAATCAGACACCGGCAGAGCTGCCTGCGACCCCCAGTGGGAGTCGGCGTCGGAACCAAAGGACACCAAATGCATGGCCTGCGACGTGCTCTATGAAGAGGGTGACGCGATCTTCCAGCTGAGCACGGAAGCGTGCCAAGACCGAGGTCGTGGCGACGCGGTGCAGCCCTTGCTGCGGGACGGCCAGAGGCCAACCATTTTGGGAGGCGCGTGCATGGCTACCTTGTGTAGGGAAACATAGCAACGCGTACCAAACGAAGCGCGGCGCAAAGATGTGCGCCCGCGTGTTGCGTCAACGCTGCGGCTCTTTGAGATGGAGCGTTGCTCTGCCCGTGCCACACAAACGCCGGGGCTCCTCCACCAGAGGCGCCGCGTGCGGTCGTTCACGATTTATTCCCCACATGATCAAGGGATCTGTTGTTATCTCTCGACGGCCCGCGCATGAACCCTCCTCCCCGTCCTGCCACCATTCTCATCATCATCATCATCATCACCACCATCATCATCATCATCATCATCATCATCATCATCATCATTATCATCATCATCAGCATTCTCCTCATCCTCATCCTGTTCCTCACAACCATCATCTTCGCCACTTCGGTCATGAGCATCATCTTACCATGTTCGCCCGTTAGCAACCAGCATCCCCGTCATCATTCCCCACAGCCTAGTGGGTTTCTTTTCCCCGCATGCAATGTTGGGGTTTTGTTGTCTCTGCGCACACCCCGCGCAGGATTTCTTAGTCGCTCTCTCCATTCCCATTCCTTTTTCCCATTGGCACACGCACCCCCTCACGCAATATGATCATCATTGTCATTGCCTAGTCATTCATCACCGTCATCACCACCATTATCGTCATCACCAGCATATTCGTCATCACCATCATGGACACAACACACTCGCATTTACTCGATTCGCCAGCGAGAAGTCTCAGGCGGGAGCCCCCTCCACGTTGGGCCGGCAACTCATGTTACTAATCAAAGCGGGCCATGCTCAAACTTGTAAAGGTCGTCAATATCGGGCTCGTCACGAGCGCCCCCCCCCCCCCCCCCCGCGCATCCGGGGGGGGGCGCGCGCTTCTGCGGCAGCTGCCACCACAAATGCTGGGTCATTTACGCCGTCGGTATTCTGGTCACCGCTTCGCGGTTGTCTGCACGCTCCCAGCTCTATTCGAACGCTGTTCAATTTCCGGAAGCATCAGCGACATCATCCAGAGTGGACGCAGTATTGGCCAGCCGCCAGGGACTTCCCTACCTGGACGGGCAGTGGTGGGGAGGCTCAGGAGGCTTGGGGGTCGAAGCTGTTGCGCACCAGTGTATAGAGCGCCGATGCCGCAACGCAACCGTACGACATGCGTTGCAAGCTATGTGTCTTGTCAAGCCTCACCAACCCATCCGTCGAATTAGCGGGTGTAAGTTTCCAGTGGCGTCATGTGTACATCGACATTGCGAACGCTTATTCCGTTCTGCGAAGAGCGCTTTCGTGCGGATGCAGCGCAACTGCATGGCTGCACGGTCGCCGTAATAGTGAGGTCACGTATCAGCCTCGCGGGCCTTGGCAGAAACCGCTTGCAAATCTGGCGGGCGTTCCAGACCACTGGAGCAGAGAAACTCGCCCGCAAAGCAACATGTTTCCTGCTGCCAAGTACCCGCAGCGCGAGGCACATTTTCGGGCACGCCGGACAGGACCCGAAGGCGTTTCTCCGCACAAGTCCCACGGGCCACTTCTGGGCGTGCCTGCAAAATTGTCGAGTCGTCTTGGGATCAAGCCCTACAGACCTTCTTTCAAGAGCTCTCATTCGGCTTGCTCGTTTTCGGGTCCATACATTGCCTGGCATTGAGAATGGCAACATGGGAACCAAACCCCGAACGGGCCCGGAGCGCGGGGCTGCGATGACACTGTGCCAGGCTCCTGCGGCCAAGCGGGGCGGGGCGCTGGTATGGCCCCAGCCCCCGCCCCTCATCCACCCTCGCTTCCCGAAGGGCCCCCGCCGGTCACGCTTCGATTTCGCGCCAGATCTGTCGGATCTGTCGGATCGGCGCAGTATAGATGCTCCGAACACGTGAAAAACAGCTCCAAACAAGTTTTATACAGCGAAAGCACACTTTTATGTTTGTTATCACATTTGCGAAGCTGTTTCTTTTTTACCACAGTTTGTTGTATCACATTTTTTATCACACGTGTGCGGTGGATTTGCCGGATTGGCGAAATATGGATGCCCTCGTGCAGGACACATGTCGCCCCCCCCCCCCCCCTCCCAGCGGAAGTAGCGGCTCCGCCAGCGGGAGGGCCGCGGAAGGCGTCAGCAGTATTAGTTGGTCGCGTCGGCCTGCTGCGTGTTGGGGTGCGCGGAGCCGGTTTTGTGGACATGTCCGTCGCCAAGGGTCTACTGCGCGGTCCTCGCCATCGTCCCCATCCTTGTCGCCCGAGGTGGAGGAGGAGGAAGAGGAGGAGGAGGCGGCGGAGGAGGGGAGGAGGGGAGGAGGGGAGGAGGGGAGGAGGGGAGGAGGGGAGGAGGGAGGAGGGGAGGAGGAGAGGAGGAGAGGAGGGGAGGAGGGGAGAAGGGGAGGGCGCTGCTGCCGTTTTTTTTTTTTTGCCTGGGCGCGCTCCCGCGTCTGTCCCGTGTGTGTCGTCCTGCTCTGGTCCTGCTCGGCTCGTCGCCGCCTCTGCTTGCCGTTCCCTTCTGGCGACCCCCCCGGGCCAAATCCATCTACCGCCCTGGGAAAGAGAATGTCCTGTGTCTTGCTCTGCGTCCTCCCCCTTCAAACCTATTCATGCCTGGTCCTCTGTTTCTCTCCTTCCCTCCCTCCATTTAATTTTTTCCCGATGAATATCTTTTTATATATATATATATATATATATCTATATATATATATATATATGTATATACATATATCCTCTCGTCTCTCTTTCTCTCTCTCTCTCTGTCTCTTTCTGTCTCTCACCCTCTGTGCTCTGCAGAGAAACAGAGAGACATAGAGAGAGAGAGAGAAACAGAGGGACACGGAGGCACACTCGTTCTAAGCTTTGCAAGAGTTCCACGGAATCCCATTATCTGCGTACCAGAAATGGCGTCTTGGAAGGATTCAGGAATTGTGGGTGCACCATTTACGTTGGTTTGCGGCGCTGCGCTGAAGCCCCAGGAATGGAGTTCGGGCGCGATTCAGCATCGTCAAGACGCAGCTGTCAGGTTGATCCGTGGTGTTGAAATCCCGAGAGCAATGTTTTGTTATGTTGCATGGTCGTCAAACGGTTGTCTTCCAACGCGGCAGTTGCCTCAGTGGAAATGAACCGCTGTAGGGTCCTATGAAGGGTCCTTATCCCAACATCGTTGATGACTCTTGGGTTTACACTGGTCCTCCTCCTCCTCCTCCTCCTCCTCCTCCTCCTCCCTCGCATCCCCCGTTTCTTTCTCCCGTCGCCCTCCTGCCTCTCCATCGGGCCACGCTGTGTGCGCCAGAATGCCAGGATCGCGGGGGGGGGGGGGGTCGGGCCCGCGATGCGAGCCCCACCCTCCACTCCACCAGGTCGACTCCTGCAGGCGGTGACCGGGGAAGGGCCGGCGAGCGACGCAAGAGAACGGGGTCGCCCTCGCCGACGATGGCGCGCACGCTCCCCGCGGAAGGTCGCGCGTGAGCGCCCTCGCCTTCGAATGTGACGTGCCGTGCGGGCGGCTCGCGCAGTCCGGGGCGTAAGGTTGCGGCGCCATCTCGCGCAAGGCCCGGTTTTGTTCGTCGCTCGGGTGGAGGGCGAGGCTGCTTTTGCCGTCCGGCAGCCCACGAGCTCCCCCCTCCTCACGGGGGCCGTTGCGATCCGATGCGGTTCGAGGTCGATGCCGCCTGGTTCTCTCGCGCAGTCCGCCCGCATGGGAAGAATGGGCAACCTTCCCAAGGGTACCCTTGCATCCCTGCCCCTTCTTGGCCCATCCTGGGCCTCTTTCGCTGGCCTCGCCCCGCTCGAAAAGCCTCGAAATGGCCTCCCAGGGCCCTTGCGTTTTCTCGTGCGTCCTTATTATACGCGTTGACTTCATTCGATCCCGATGTTTCCGACGACTCGACGTTGTGCATCCTTGCGCGGCCGATGCGATTCGATATCGACTTCGTGCCGAGTCGGCCCGATCCGACGCACATTTCGATGCCATGGCTCGCGCCGCACCGCGGACTCCCTCAGTGGCCCCCGGCTCCCAGAGCCAGAGTCCTCCAGTGGCGTCTGGAGCTATCCGTAGAAGGAGGAGGAGGAGGAGGAGGAGGAGGAGGGAGGAGGAGGAGGAGGAGGAGGAGGGAGGAGGGGGAGGAGGAGGAGGAGGAGGAGGAGGGGTTTCTTGTTGAAGAAACCTGATGGGGCCTCCTCTGCGGATGCCTCGCGAGGGTCTCCTGGAGTTCTCCCGGGAGACTCCTTCGCGGCCCCTCTTTGGGGAGAGGTCCGGGGCTGGTTCGGGTAGTTCGAGGGCATCCCGGGGTCTCGTTCGGACCTCTTGACGTTACCAGCCTCGAACGTATCCCTATCCCTGAGATTGACACGCCAAAAGGCGATGATAATCTCAGGGATTCGCCCTCAAAATATAAGGAAATCCCTAAGATTGGCATCCTGATGAGGAGGTGCCCAGCATAGGGATAGGGATATGTTCCAGGCTGGTAATGACGGGCCTCTCGGGGGCTTTCTTGGGGCCCGCTGGCGGTCTCGGGGGTCTTCTGGGAGTGGAGGGCTCAAACTGTCAGCTCGAGCTTTCGCTTGCAAATGGCGTGTCGCCTCTTGCCCGCCCCCCACTCTCGGAGGCAGGTTCGAAGCCTCTGGGAATGCGCTTGGGAGCCTGAGGGGATTATTCTGGGCCTCTTGGGAGCCTCTTGAGGCCCTCCTCGTCCGTCTTGGGTGCCTCTTGGGCCATCAAAGGCCGTCTTGGGACAATCTCGGGCTCCTCGTGTGCTATCTGGGGGCCATCCTGGGCCGTCGCGGGCCCCTCTGAGGGTGCCCTGGGCCGTCCAGGGCATCTCTTCGGGTGGCCTGTGGCTGTCTGAAGCTGTCAGGGGCTGTCTTGGGGAATCCATAGGGGAACGACAAATGACAGAAACATAAAAACTCAAAGATCCGCGCGGATTTCTCGGATCGGCGCTGGAACCCCCTCCCTGGCGCGCGGAGCGCGCCAGGGGCGGTGCCGGAGGCGCCGCCAGGGAGGTCCAGCGCGGATCCAGGAAATCCGCGCGGACCTCCGAATTCTTATGTTTACGTCAGTATTCGTCCCCTTAATCCAGAGGCTGCCGAGGGGGCCGCCTGGGGCGTCTTGAGGCGAACGTGGATGCCTCTGGGACCGTCGTGGACGATCTCGAAGCTGAACATGCAGATTGTCCCACAAGAGTGGGGCGATTGCTGCTTTCTGGGGCCCTTTCGATGGTCATCTTCGAGCCTTGTGGTGGCGTCCTCGAGGCTTGTGTGTCTGACTTGAGGCCACATTGGGGTGTCTTGGTGTTGGTGGGTGCCTCGGAGGGGCCAGTTTGAGGCGTCGGGGCACCTGTTCGGTTCAATTCACGGAAGGCAGTCGAATGAGTCGAATGGCAATGACATGTTTCCATTGCGATTTTAACAGTCCGGGAGCAGTTATAGTAGGGATGAGGCCCCGGCCCTGTTGAACAGACCCCCCTCCAAACGGGCCGGACTGGGCTCCCGGGGGAGGAGTCTGGGAAGGGACGACAGTCTCACACGCCGAGTAGACCCCAAGGAATCGGCGAATTCGACCCAGCTTCACGATTCGATGCTGACCGCTCCCGCCTCCTTCTCCTCCTCCTCGTCGTCCTCCTCCTCGTTCTCCTCCTCCTCCTCCTCCTCCTCCTCCTCCTCCTCCTCCTCCTCCTCCTCCTCCCCCTTCTGCCCTTTCTCTCGCCCCCCGTAAGGTGGTTGTCTGGCGCACTGCGCGACATTTCCCTTGCAGCGTCGTATCCTCTCCCCCCCCACCCCTCCCCTTCCTCCTCTCCAGGAACGGCAACGGCACGGGTGCCCACCTGAAGACAGGGCTCTTCCAGGAGTTGTGGGAGGGGGAGCTGTGCGACAAGGTGTTCGCGCGGCTCGACACGGATGCGGGGAGAGCCAAAGCAGCTCACTGTCCCCCGTGGCGTTGGTCGGAGATCTTGGTGAATTTGTTTCTCCCCCAGTTATCTTGTGGTCTCGTGCCCTCGTTTTGAATACGCAGCCCCCCGAGTCCTTGTCACCATCCTCCTGCTCCTCCTCCGTTTCCCATCTTTCTGTCATCCGCATGTGACCACCACCATCACAACCATCATCAACATCATCAGTCTCATCATCATCATCATCAACAGCAGAATCACAACCACCATCATAATCATCATCAACAGCAGCATCATCACCATCATCATCATCACCATACCCATGACCATTAGCAACCGCATCTTTATCGTGACCATCATCATCATCATGATTGACATCATTGTCATCAGAATTGTCCGTCGAATCATCGCCATCATCAGCATCACCATCATCATCAGCATCACCACCATCATCATCATCATCATCAGCATCATCATCATCATCATCATCATCATCATCATCATCTTTATCATCATCATCATCATCATCAGCATCACCATCATCATCATCACAACAGCATCACCATCATGAGCATCACCACCACCAGCATCGTCCTCCTCTTCCCTTTCTTTCATCACCATGACCATATCATCACTATTGATAGTCGTTTCTCGGCCCATCTATAACACGTTTTCGTGGTTCGATAGGGAGCTCCACCCAAGGCCTTTTGTGGCAGGGCCCGCATGCGTGACCGACCCGCTTCGCTGCCCCACAGGGAGTTGCACCTGAGGCTACAGCGGCAGCGTCCGCATGCGTGACCACGCCAATAGATGGGGAGGGGCTGGGATGGGAGGGCGGAGTGGAGTTTGAGGAGAGGGCTCGAGGAGGGGATGCCGAATCTATCCTGCAGTCCAGGACGGCTGCGTGCAGCAGAACATGGGCGAGGCCAGCAGTTCGGCCCAGGCCCGACCCTGGGTCCGGACAGTCCGAGGGGCGTGGGGGGCAGACGAACGATCATGTAGACCTTGGCCATCCCGAGAGCAGCACAAACGAGTGAAGTGCTCGCTCGCATTCTGATCGTGCTGGCCTGAACAGGTTCTGCTTGATTGTCTGTTTGCCCGCTCGTCCTCGGCGTGGCGGGGCCACCGGGGACCAGGCCGGCTGGTGCTACGTCAACGCCACGTGCAGTTCCGACAAGCTCGACCTGCGCAGGCTCTCCGGAGCGGGGAACCCTGCCTTCGGCCCGAGGATGTGCGTGCCTGGAGCCGACAGGTTCTTGTACGAGAAGTCACCCGAGGACCCCCCACCCGCTCCGCCTCATCATGCCCCTCTTCAGGAGGGAAAGAAACACACAGACACAATTAATCGTCGATCCCCAGGAAAATATGGGAAAATATGGGAAGTGGGGGGGAAGACTAAAACCCAGAAGATATAGGAAAATATGCGGAATCCTTTTATTTGTGTGTATTTATTTGTGTGTCCCAGGGCCCCTTCATCTCTGGGGGCAGGGCTCGGTGGAGCCGCATCGGCATCGGCAGCGCCTCTGGTTAGTCAGACGGGCGACCGCTGGCCGATCGCGCCGCCGTTCTCCAGCACGCCCCCGCGGAGCGAAGGCCACGTGTGCATGCACCGTGCTGCGCTTGCGCCTGACCGGGCGTCGTCGATCCTCGATTCGGGCGCGGTACGGTGCTCGGGTTTTCGGCCACTGGTCCGAGCAAGCGACTCAGAATCCTGGCATCGCTCGGACGTGTGCATTTTTTTCTTTGCGAGGACCTTCCAGGACCATCCTGGACCATCGAGCAAAAAAAAAAAAAACATGCACGAAACCGAAACATGCACAGGAAATGGACGTCCGAGCGATGGCGAGGAATGCACTTCGCCACGGCGGGCATCCGCCGAGGAGCGTCTACGCATGCCCCGTGGCACGAGCACCGTTCTCGTGCAACCGCCTCCTGCTACGGGAGCGTGGCGCCCAGCGCGGCGCTGCGCCGCAGGCACCGCGCGAGTGGCGCGGGCGTGCGCGCAGGGTTGAGCGCACTCGCAACGGGCGTGAGCGCACGTCTGCACAGTTTCCCTCCTCAGCAATTTGGCGCGCGTTTGTATACAATCCCATAGCTGGCCTCCGCCGCCTACCTCTTCGCCCCGCTTCTCCTCCACCTCCTTCCTCCTTCTGTGCGCCCCCAAGTGCCCCTGTACCCCCCCCCCCAAGAGTTCTGACACGCACGACTCGTGTTTTCTTGGCTGAAGTGCCCAACCCCTATTCAAATACGAGTGCCGCAGGTGGTGACTCTCTCCTCATCCACTGCGCGCCCCGGGGGGGGAATAGCGAGTCGGGCTCCTTGTGGGGCTCGTCAGCTTCGCTTCTCCCAGGCTGCGTTTCATTGCATGGTCTTGCTTATTGCAGGTCGGCTCATGCGGCGCTCTTGCGCTGCATGGTGGTATTCTGCTTCACGCTGCCGATCCAGATACGGGGTGGTGAGATTCAATGGGCGCGTGCTTATCATCGCTTTCTCCTGGGACATGTTAGCAAGCGTGAAACCCAAACAGTGCACTTCTAGCAGTCTATTTTGTGCAACCTATTTGGAGCAATCTACGTGGTGTAATAGTTCACAGCGCCCGTGCCCCTTCGCTTTCTCCCCCTCGCTCATCCTTGCTCATTGCTGCTAAGCCTTCTGCATCTGCGGGCCGTGATTCGTGATATGTGCGAGGCGTGTTGCCCCTTTTGCGGACCCCCTTTGCCCGCATCATCATTTGCAGTTGTCCGCCCCCTTCTTGCTCAAACACACTGTGAAAACAACATGCTGTGCGCTGTATGGTGTGCATTCTATGGTGTGCGATCTATGGTGTGCACTGTAGGTGTTGCAGCTTACGCGGGGCAACTCATGTTGCATAACCTATGTGCTGCAACCGGTGCTGTCAACTGTTTGTTGTGCAGTCGAGGTTGTGCAATCTATGTGGTCAGCCTATGTGGTGCAATATATGTCGCCAGACCGCCAGCCAGGCCCAGACGACGGGCGCTGACGAGGTGGCGACGGATTGGCAACTGCGGCAGCATGGCCGCCAGACCGCCGCCCAGGTCCGGATGACGGGCGGCGACGGGGCCTCGACCGCGGCAGCATGGTCGCAAGGCCGCAGGCCCAGATCCCTAGAGCAGAAGGGAGGGCCCCAGAGTGCAAGCATTGGACGGGAACCTATGATGTATAGGTATACATATGTATGAACATGTGCGCTTATAGTTGTAAGTATCTTTTAGCAGCCATGCATACACGCAAACATACATATTTATATATACATACATACATGCATCCATGCAGCCAGACGTACGTTCATTGATACATACATGGGGACATACGGACATACATATACATATATATATATATATACATATACGCATGCCTACAACAACCGTACAACTATACATGCATATATACATACATACACGCACGCATACATACCTACATACCTGCACACAAACATACATGCACACCTACATACCTACATACATACATACGTACATACGTACATGCATGCATACATACGTACATACATTCCAACACTTACCCACCGAGTCATGCCTACATACATGCACGTACGTATGTGGGTACAGTCATCCTGGTTCATGCCTATACTTCGGGGGTACTAAAGTTTTTGACCATAAGATGAGAATTGCCTCGCTGGTCACGCGTGCCGCGGAGGACCGATCAGGATGCAAAGGCGCCTTGATGCGGATTCGCGAGCCTTTGTGGGCCCTCTTGGACGGCCAACCAGTGAACCGAGAGCGACCGCATTGGATAAGGATGCCCAGGGTCTCACAGCATCAATGCAACAAGGAATACAATGCAACATCGCGTTGGCATGATAAGGACAGGGTCGTTGGGGATGATGACACGGACGATCAAACGTGACCCAAGCGGAGTGGTTTATTGTGAATGGGTTCAAATCGGAGTGTTCTCCGGCCCTATTGTAAATGGGACGGAGTAAGTATCACCCTGTTATATATATTATTCTTACAGGGTGAGAGCCCATCGGAGCCGAACCGCCGCCCGACCCAAAACATGCCGCTAAGATTCTGCGGGGGGGCAGGGGGCGTCGACAGCATGACGTCTTATGGTCAAAACTATAGTACCCCCCGTGTATGGGTGCATACCTACAGACATGCTTACATTCATACATACATACATACATACAACCATACCGGCATCTATACATACATACGTGCCGTCTGTCGTGCGTGCAGGTGCAGGCATACATAAGTTCGGTAAGGCATGCGCGTTTCCAACTACAACATATACAAAATATCCCAGTGCGACCCTACCTGGGAGTTGGAGCCTCTAGGAAAACAACATTTGGATGCTGTGCTGCGCTATGCTCTGCTCTGCTATGCTATGCTGCGCCATGCTGTGCTAGGCTATGCTATGATATGCTATGCTGCGCTATGCTTTGCTTTGCTATGATATGCTATGTTGCGCTATGCCACGCTATGCGATGCTGTGTTGTGCTATGCTATGCTATGCTATGCTATGCTGCGCTGTGTGCTGCGTTATGCTATGCTATGCTATGCTATGCTATGCTATGCTATGGTTGGTTATGCTATGATATGCTATGATTTGCTAATGCTGCGCTGCGCTATGCTGCGCTGCGCAATGCTGCGCTAAGCTAAGCTAAGCTAGGGTAGGCAAAGCTATGCTAAGGTAGGCTAAGCTAGGCTAGGCTAGGCTAAGCCAAGCCAAGCCAAGCCAACCGAAGCCAAGCTAAGCTAAGCTTAGCTAAGCTAAGCTGAGATAGGCTAAGCTAAGCTAGGCTAAGCTAAGCTGGGTGAACCCAGGGGGCGTAACTGGGGGAACCGCGGGGCGGATACTGGGGGAACCGCCCGGGGCGAGTTGCACTGCCCGACCCTTTAAGCATACCGAGTAAGAACCCTTCGAGGCAGAACCTAGGTAGGGAACATGCAGGCCTGCATACGTACACACATGTGTATGTACGAATGTACGGACGCACGTACGTACGCACAAACGTGCAGACATGCATGCAAGCATTCATACACACGTACGTTCCTACACATCTACACACCAGCATACAATTATATGTGTATGCATGTTTACATACATACATGTGTGTCCATACAAATAGACATACATGTACTTGTTGGTTGATATCAGCCGGGGGTGGGCGGAACAAAAGCCTCTCCCCTGACAAGTAGCCTGACGACGGACCCAATGATACGCAGCTGCTAATACCACGGGGGAGATGGCAATACGGAGGGGTGTGTAATCTCTGGGTAGTGCACGCGGCATGGCCTTCTGCCACGAACCGTGTGTAGGGTGTGCCGACATGAGTCGGGTGGACGCATGCGAACGTTGCGCTTGGGGCCTTCTGTGGAGCTCCCTATGGGGCCACGAACGTGTGAGAGGTATGCGGAGTCTGGGCGGCGGTACCATGCGACCACTCCCACAGGGGCTATAGAGGTCCTTATGGAGCCACGGGCCGAATGGGACAGCGGTGCCATGCGAACTTTCCCGCATGGGGCCCTTGAGGTGTGCCGTCATGGGGCGGCGGTGCCATGCGAACTTCCCCACAGGGGTCTTAGGTGGAGCTCCCGATGGGGTCACGAAGCGTGCGAGAGGCATGCCGAAATGGGAACACGGTGCCATGCGAACTTTTCCTTGGGGCCTTTGGAGGAGCTTCCTATGGGGCCACGAAGCGTGTGAGGGGTGTGCGGACATGTTACGGAGGTGCCATGCGAACTTTCCAACAAGGGCTTTAAGTGGAGCTCCCCGTGGGGCCACGAAGCGTGCGAGGGGTGTGCCGAAATTGGGGCGGCGGTGTAATACGAACTTTCCCACATGGGGCCTTCGATGTAGCTCCATATGGGGCTGCGAAGCGTGTGAGGGGTGTGCTGAAATGGGGCGGCTGTCTTTTGCGAGCCTTCCTACAGAGGCTTTAGGTGGAGCTCCTTGTGAGGCCACGGAGCGCGTGAGGGGTGTGCCGAAATGGGGCGGCGTTCGCACGCGAACTTTCCCACAGGGGCCTTCGGTGGAGCTCCCCATGGGGCCACGAAACGTGTGAGGGTGCGCCGACATGGGGCGGCGTTGCCATGCGAACTTTCCCACAGGGGCCTTCGGCGGATTTCCCGGTGGGACCACGAAGGGTCTGTGAGCGGTGTGCCGCAATGGGGCGGCGGTGCCATATGAACTTTCCCAAAGGGGCCTTCGATGGAACTCCATATGGGGCCACGAAGCGTGTGAGGGGCGTGCGGACATGTTGCAGCAGTGCCATGCGAACCTTCCCACATGGGCA